ATCTTGCCTGCCACACAGTCACTCATGGCCTCTGCCCAGACCGATTTTTCAGCAAGATGGTGCAACATACCGGCCATTATGAGGGCCGAATTTACAACGGCATAGGTCCCGTTCTCCCCCAAGGTAGTGGGGGGTTGCCAATAAGGAATAGCGAAGTCCAGCATGGCCTTCCTATAGGGTTGTGGTATATCGTAGATGGGGAAGTTCATGGTCGACGTATGCGTTGGTCCTGGGCAATTTGAAATTTGTGAGATATAATCCGATAACATACCAGCGTCCATATTTCTTGTTGGGAAATGTTTTCCAATTTTGTCACAAATGTGGGATTTATGATTAAAATATGGAACCGTTGATCTACTATGTTTTAAATTGCTTGGGGTGATTTTATTCAGTAGTTCGTCCGCCGCTCTTTGAAGGCTAAATTGGATCGGGCACCACGCGCTGGGATTTTGTCCGCCATCGAAACATCTTGACAATCCGGTGACCAATAATCCGGCCGACGAACGGGTTGGGAATGGTATATTGAAGAATGGAAGTAATTTAATGTCTCTCCAAAACAATGGGAATTACCCTCCGAATATTTAAGAAGTGACCTAAATGGAAAGCAACCTCTTAATCCTCTAAATTTTCCCTCCCGTTAAATGGAAGTAGCCTCTCATTTTGCATATCATAAATCTGTGAAAATTTCTTATCAGTGATGGGTCTTATTACCAGTGTCCGGTTGATTATGTTCTTAAAAACCCTAAATCTTTATGAAAAATTTGTATTAGATTTATCAGACGACATGGTTGTTGTAATACAGATATATTTATTCCGAGCTTTCGATACTCACTTGTATCATCTTCAGGGACAATTTTAGAAAGCGAAAAACATGATTTATTTCACCAAAAACCAGGATTCTTCAATCACTAACGGCTACGGCCGGTGTTTCTGGGTTCGGCCGTAACTCAACAAACTTATTTTTTTAATTATTTTTAATTGTTGGGTAGCAGCGGCTACCCAGCCTTATGTAACTGCTTGTCCGTTCGTCTGTTTGTCTGTTTACTCGCAGAAATTAAATATGTAACACAATTTTGGGTAACTATGACTCGGGCTACACACACTCAATTCTAGAAATTAGCCAGCAATTACAAAATAGTTAAAAATTCTTTCGTTGACCCAGCTACGGCCTCACCCCTAGAGTAAATTGTTCAAATTGCAAGTCATCCTGACCAAAAACATCTTATCACATAATATTTTTGTAATTCAAAAAACGATATCGTTGTCAGGGGCGCTTGATTAGGGGTAACAATAGTGAAACCCAGATAGGATTCAGGTTCATGTGGTCTTGAATCAAGACTCTTGATTCAGGGCGTCAGACGTTTTTCTAATGTACAGACTTTCAAGAAGACTTTCAGACTTTATGTAAAATGTTTAATTGCTTAGATCCCCAAAAGATGTATTTATGAAAAACATTTTTTTAATTCGTTTTAAATTGCTTAAAAATTAGTTTGTTTGACTGCAAGATTGTCAAAAATAGCTTTAATATTTCACACTGACAAATAACAAGCTTTCCACAGGCTTTGGTTTGATATTGCTTTGGTTTGATATTACTTTGCTTTGTAAATATATCCGTTTCTACGTCTTACATTTATAAACTACCGATTTTTTTACCAGGCTGTATTAAGACATTTCGGCATTTAAAAATTTTAAACTCAGGGTAAATTAAGATAAGATAAATTAAGACATTTTTACCTGACGATTTAAGATAATCTCAGGGCCCATTAAATTTTACCCTTACATTAATGATCGGAATTATTTATGTATTGCGAATTTCTGAGATTATCGTATATTTTTAAAGATGAATTTCGTCAAGCAATTATAAAAGAATTTTTCGATGTTGTTCTGAACCCAAAACCTGTACCAAGCGGAAGGGTGAAGAACCTGTTAAGTCCACAACAGCCTTGAGTACCATGTAGTTTTTAAAATGCATGCTTTTATGGAAGCCTTAACTTTAACTGCATATAAATGATACGCTTTTTACATATATAGAATGCTGAAATTATGGCTTGTAGATATGTACATTATTTTAAGAGGTAGTTTGCCACCAAAATCCTAATTCAAAAATAACTTGCAGGTATCCATAAAGGGTACTTCTGAAATATTTGGAGGGTACTTCTCATTTAATTGGAGAGGCTTTACATGCATGCCTTGAAGAATAATTTCGCCGTTGTCTCGTACATGATGACGTTTTCATCGGGCAGTTCAGTTATGACTAGTGGAGCGGTTATTTTGACCACTTGAGCTTGAGCGGTCATAATAATATGAAGAATTATTATGAAAGTTGTTAAAACTGGCCTCATTTTTAGCTTTTACCTACGTAAAAAAGTTATTAATGGTCTTAATTTGTCATTTACTTTAATTGTGTACCTCCAAAGAATGCATTTAATCGTTATAGTTACTTACAAAAGTAGGAAAGTTTCGGTCTTTCTAATGTATTTGTGGTTAAATATCAGGAATTAACATACAAAAGCGAGCAGGATTGAGAGCAGAAAGAGTTTATCCTTCTGTTGGTGTTCGATGAGTGTATGAATGTGTGCCGATTACCCTCACTTTCTTTTTATCTGGAAAACATTATGTTCTTATCATTGCGATACGTGCTTATTTACAATCCATGCATTAATACAATCACGTATGTATGAACTGTGTATTGTAGTAACATTATGTGATATGTGATATGAAGTTATGCTATGTGAAGTTATGTGATATGACGTTGATGCATAATGTTTAAGCAATATACTAAAAATCGGCACTCTAAAAAATCCTGACTTAAGCGGCTCTGGTGATCGGGGTTGTCACCGCTTCGATGGTCGTTAATTAGTACATAGACTGTCACCGGACGCAATGATTGACTTTCTCCAGGCTAGTGGAGACTGTTCCCAAGTATTAATTCCGTTGTAACCAAGCGGTACAAAATCCTTAGGGTCCGATACAATGGCATATACGAGCTAATCCTTGTAGCGGGTGTATCTGTATAAATGAAGTCGGAAACTGCGCAACTATGCACATATATATGAGTACGTACGAGCTAAATTTGAAAAATAATGTATCCATTGCATTATTAGCTCACCCTGCGTAGCATGAGAACTATTGAATTCCTCTTGTCCGGCTTTATGTCTGTCCGTCTGTCAATTGTTTCGCATCATTCTGTGTTACCGCTTTTTCGATGCCAATGCTATTTTATTTTAAAATGGAGAGAGTCCAACTTAATTAGCATCAACTCATGGATCACTTTATGCATAGAAATGTAGATATCTCATTATTATTATTTTTTTTAATTATATGCATGGTGAACTTAAAGTGCGCTGTAAGTAATAATACGAAATTATCCTAATTAAGTTTTTGAAATCGAATGATCATTGAGTTATTATGGAAATTTGTTGAAATTAAGTTCGTGACATAATTTATTGGAGACCAAATTAATTAATGACTATGTATTTATGATAATATTATTTGAAAATATCAGTTGTATGTTCATGTACATATGTATTTGTATATATACATAACACATTTACACATTAATGCATGTGCCTATATATTATTTACTAAAATTTCAAATGTGTAAATACTTTGCTATTGGTAACAATATTCACGGTGAAGTATATTTCTAACCCTCACATATTTACCTATATGCATATATAAATATGTATGTATACAAGTGAGCATACTACATACAAGATTTGGAATTGAGATTTTTATAATTATTATCAAAAATGATGACAAAATTCTTAAAATGTTGAATTTTAGGGACACAATTTCCGCAACTAATGGAAATTTGCTAATTGTTCCCATCGGAAAATTTTCCATTGTTATGTTAACCACCCTGTACATATTGTTACAATTACGTGCTGTCAGTCTTATTTATTGCGATTTACATAAGTATGTATCTATCAATGTCTATTATAATCTGACCAGAAAAGTCATTGTCATACGAAATAATAGTGTGACTCAGGAGGGGAGCTTGCGAGGTTGATAATAACAGATCTTGATGCCCTTTGGATATGTGGTAGGGTCCTATGAGTGTACTAAAACCCTGAAGTGGTTTGACTCCATGGCCACATTTGCGCCCGCCACACCCACTCAAAAATGCCCAAAAAACGCTTTCACTCCAGTTTTCACTCACTCAAATCCACGCCAAAAAACCAATTTTACTCGGATTTTGAAATTTATTTCACCATTACACTCCCAGATAGTTGCTTTCTTCAATTCAATATGAAACTCAATTTTGCTGATGATTTTTTCGCAGGCATAATTTGCGTTATTGATTACTACAGCAATGCTCATTCAGAATTTTAAATTTTAAAAATACAAAAAATTTCGAAAAAATTGAGTTTAATATTGGATTGAAGAAAACAACTATCTGGGAGTATAATGGTGAAAGAAATTTCAAAATCCGAGTAAAATTGGATTTTTGGCGTGGATTTGAGTGAGTGAAAACTGGAGTGAAAGCGTTTTTTGGGCATTCTTGTGTGGGTGTGGCGGGCGTAAATGTGGCCATGGAGTCAAACCACTTCCTGGGTTTAGTACACTCATGGGACACTACCACATATGCAAAGGGCATCTATATTTGTTATTATCAACCTCGCAAGCTCCCCCCCTCAGAGTATGGCATTAATTAATTCTTGTTGGAACCATTGTGAAACCAGGTTGAATTCAACTTCATCCATGCGTACGCATGCTGCTCAAAGGTCAACCACACACACGTGTACGCAGGGATGGACAATCCTACACGGATTGCGAATTACAGATTAATTTATTAACAATTTTCTTGGGATTACGGAATTTCGGTTAGTTAGCTTGTTCGGTTGAAGTGGTCTATATTTTAGATTACTTCAATATATTTATTGGCTTATTTGATTATGAATTGCGGATTACATTTACCGTGTAATACGGTATTACTAATACCTTATGATAATCTGATGTATGTATGAGTAATAAAATAACATTAAAAAAGTAACGTCAAATATATGTAGTTTGAGTATATTATTTCTGAAAATATGTACAACTCAACAACAAAGTAATCTGTTAATGTAGCTCGTAATAAGATTACATTGGAAAATCTAGAAATTGTAGATTTCAAATTACTGGTTACTTTGTGACCAGTATGAATTACGGATTACAAATTGTTAAAAAAATAATTTTTTATCGAAATACTAGATTGTGGATTATTAAACAATTTTCAATTTCTTTTAGAATTACTAGATTACGGATTATGTAAACTCAGTATTTGAAGATTATGAGAACGAATGTGCATGCTGGCCCGATTCTGTTAATTCACAACCAAATCTCTTTGTTATGTATTTGCGTCATGAATTGTGTCCATGTAAAGTTACTGAAGACTTTGAATGAATAATATGAAAATGTCCCATCACATTAGACCCGCCACTATTTTTATAAAATTATATACTTATTTTCGCATAAGTAACATTCGTAATGGGGGATTTATTCGTTTACATTAGCACAATACATACGTTAACAGTTAAATATAAATCTATCAAAGAGTATCTTGATCTTACACTTTTTATCGCAACATTTACATAATGATTTAAGTACATAAACAGCGCACACAATCAGAAAATAATATAACTAAAAATACCGTTAGATTACTTAATCAGTCGTAGTTTTAAATTTTACCAATTTTGAGTGGCCCTTAAGGTTCTCAAGTAGCAATTTATTTATATCTAGGATTCGTGTTTCATAACATTTTATATACATTGCCTCCTTCTCCGATGGAGAAAAAACTACTCTTGATCTCTGTTCAATTATGTTAACTAAACTGGAATCAAGACCTATTTCAACTATAAGCCCTAAAGTCAGTTTAATGGTGACTTTGTCATAATGTGGAATTTTCTTCCTCAGATCCTCACGCGATAATGTATTTCGACGAACATAGTCTTCCAAACACGTTAGAACTTCATCCCTATTGTGATCCGTTAAAATTACATATGCCAATGGATCCTTCAGGATTGATTCCTTCAAGGCGTTGGGATCCTTTACTTGTTTATCAAATTGTTCAATTAGGTCATTAATGGAAAGCAATTTGACAGTTTCCCAGGAACTCCAGCGTACCCTTACAAATTTTACATCTCTAAATTGAAGTTCGGGATCAAGCATAAGAATCCTACGCAGGAGAAGAAATACACCAGTAACTTCTGAGCTAGACGTCCCATAAATACATCCAAGCGTAATGATGTAAAAACGGGAAAAGCGTTCAAATTTACCAGCGCGCATAATACATGTATTCATCAAGAGCTCCCAATAGTCTGGGAGAAAGTTAAAAAAATTAGCAGATTCCTTTAGAAAGAAATCAATATTCTCAATATTACCCTTAAAATTGTCATATCCCATGCCTCTAACACGAAGGTCTTTCATTATATCATTGAGGAATACCCAGACCATCTTGCAAGCGCCGTGATCGAAATCAATAAGCACACTTCTAAGTACCTTTAACTTCTCGCTATTATCCTTCTCACTGTAACAAATTGTCTCAACTTGGCTCGCGATGAACTTTGCCACGTAAAATTCTGCAAAAGTACGGTGTATGAATGTAGGAGTTTTCCCTTCATTCTCCTCATACGCAATGCCAACTCGAAAGACCTGGTCGGTAATTAGCTTCTTAGGAGATAATAATTTCTGTCCACAAGCGAGCAAGACTAATTCTTCATAAGGCCTTCTATCGCCCATCACATCTCCCGCAAACTTATAAAAATACTCGTCAAAACATTCCTGAAATATTGCTGGGTTCACGCAGCCTGGGATTCCAAGTTTTTGTGTCATGTAAATCTCATATTTACGATCAATAAACCTCTGATAAATATATGCCAGTGTTATTTCTCCCTTTATTTGTGTTATTCCGCCTTTTTCTCCCCCAGTGTTGACATACTCCATCGCATTAGTCAAAAACCCTTCCGATAGCATTTTTAGTTGGAGTGGAACTCCGAGAAATGCTTCCCTGTCTTTAACCAGATTCTGATGCGCTTCGGTGATCACCTCAGTCGCAAATTTCGTTAAATGGTCGAGTTCCAAACCTTCCTCAACTCTTAGCGCAGCGGCCCACAAATTTACGAGGAGCTGAGTTCTTTCTTCATTAAGCAATGGGACAAATGAGTGGGATAAAGCACCGAGGACGCCTTCCAAGTTTTCCCTATCGTGTGGACGAGTCGTAATAATTATTTGAATGTGCGACAATCTTTTAACTTTTCGTAGGATGTTTGTCCATAATTTTTTGTTTTCATATGTCATTTCGTCAAAGCCGTCAGCTAGAATTATAAGTTCTCTTCTTTCCGTTTTGTTGAGCATGAGATGCAAAAGGACATATTTGGATAATTCGTTAAATTTTTGATTGCCAGAAATACAGTGGGAAAACCCGGTTATAAAGGAATTATCGTTTTGACTGACGTCAATCAAGTTAAGATTTTGCAGCGATTTTAAATCAATTATAATTAAATAATTGAACAGAGCATTGGAGCTTGAAACACTCTCACTTAAAATTCTATTAGCCAATTGGACGACTGTGGTCGACTTTCCCATGCCAGGTTCGTCAGAAATAATTAAAGGGCCATCGCCAATAAAGGATATGCCCTCTTCGGGTAAAGGGGTGTAATTAAATTTGATGCATGGGTTTAAATCGGAGTTGGGATCGGGCTTTTGTGAAACTTTTTCGGAACTTTGTTTTAAAGTACACATGTGTCCATCTCCCTCCGGATCAATGTTAAAATGTGCAGATTTATACATATTGCAACTAATATCTTCAAATTTCTTCACAATTTCAGTAGCGATATTAGAATTCTTATTATCTGTGCAATCATTTTCTGATATCTCTATATCAAATTTTTGCTCGCCACGCCCTAAATAAAAAGATTCAATACCTTTCTCAAACTTTAAATAACTACACACTACGCCAGATTTTATGCCTGGCTTTCTAATTTTCCTCTTTGTGTAGAATTCTGGAGTATACTGATACATCAGCTCGAACGGGTGGCTCAAATTTATACCGCTACTATAGCTGACAGAGTCCACAATGCAGTCATGGTTGGCCTTACAGATATTTTGGAACTCTTTAAAAGGATTTGTCGTGTCCCGTGGTAAAATGTGTATCTCTACTGTAAGTGCCGAACCGAGATGTTTATAGACTTCCGTACGAGCTTTAAAATGTTCACAGTCACATTGAAAAACAACAATTGTTTTAAACTTGTCGAACTTTTTTGAATAATAATCTCTCAGTTCAGTGCCACTCATTTTACGAGCAATGTTAAAATAAGTGTTTTCCAGGTCATATGCGGTCTTTAGGGCGTGGCCTATTTCTGCATTGCCTTGCAGAATGGCTAGCAACGAAGATGGAGATGATTCTAAGAAAGTTTTCAACTCCTGCCTCTGAACCTTATTCGTAAAAATATCCTTCAGTAAATGTGACTGCCCTAGTAATATTATTTCGCTTTCTAATATGCTTCCCATTAATTCATTGTCAACCACAAGTTTTTCGGTAAAATTTTCGGCAGGGGTGGGTAGTATGGACTGTTGCAGCCAAACATAGTTGATGCCAGGGATGCATGACATTTCCTTAATTGTATCGTATGTTATTTCGTTAATCTCATCAATGGAGTCAATAATTACTAACTTAATTCCATACTTGCCTATCATACTATTTCTATCATAGATTTTTGACCCTTGGTCATGTTTCAGAATTAGTGTCTCATTTTGTGACTTTGATCTTTTCAGAAATGCGTATTCTAGCAAAACTAACTTCAGCCAGTCTTTGTCGCTTGATCTTACAAATTTAAAGGAACCCTGATCATTTTCGGTGTAAATTCCGTGACTGGAATTTCCACTGAACTTTACGCTCGAATACTTGGAAAGCATTTCATCACAATACATCTCACTTTTAAGTAAGATATTGGTTAAATCATAATCTGGCAAATGCTCAATCTTACTAGACAAGTCCTTGAGCACGTTAAACGTGCAACAGTTTTTGAACACCGTATACTTTCCCTTAGTTTCAAAATTTATCCTGCCGTTTTCTACTTTACATTTGTAATCTAGGCCCAAAATGACATGTGACTCAGTACTGGAATCGATAACTTGCATGTTATCATGACCTATGTGTTCCTTCCATAAAAAAATCTCTCTCAACTTCTCCAAATTTGTGCTTTCTATCCCACTCAATCGTGTCGCAGCTACATTAGTTTCCTCGCCTTCTAATTTCAGAACCTTGAAAGTCTTATAATCTCTTGGACTCGATAGCCAACTAAAAAAATCATCCATAGCCTCTCCAGCCTTCCACCCAAACCTTGCTGCCTTTATGAGCGCTTTAGCAAATCCTTTGTCCTTATCTGCATAAGTGTTCCATCCCTCAAACACGGCCATTGGCCAATTTACTACGCTATAAAGAGTGAAAATACTGCTTTCTAAGGCAGTTTTGAATACTTCAATATCATGAAACTTAAATGTGTGCTTCAAAGTGTGTGAATATTTTTTCATGCCCCCACTCGAAATTGGTCCAAATGCTGGAATACTATCTGGCGCGACAAGCTGCACCATATCACCAAATGGAGGGTTGATAACGTTGACAGCATTTGGTAAGATTACGTAATTGCAAATGTCCAATGTGACGGTGTGGGAATCGTGACTTTCTCTCAGTTCAGAATACGAATTAAGATAATTAAGGATTAAACCGGCACCAGGACTGTCAAATACGACGCAGTGGGGGTGCCATAAATCTGTTTCGGCACGACGTATAAATTCATTCCCCTCCTTTGCAAGTGCTAAGTATTTCACAGCAAATGTTGCAACTTGGGCTAACCAACCGCCAAGTGAGTGTCCAGTGATGATGATCTGCAGTGGGTCCGAAGTTGCGTCCAGATTTTCCTGTACCGTTTCCAAAATTTGTAGGGCAAAAGTACACGCCGAGTTTAGTTGGGGTGTAATTTGGTTTTTCGCAATTCCTTGAAGATTAGCGTGAACCCAGTCAGCGGCTGAGTTAGTACCTGAATTAGATAATAAACGTCCCGAGTTATAATAATTCTGTAGATGTGTATTTAGATATATGTAATAATATTTAATTTATCAGGAAATTTAATCAGAAAGTACGATTTGTACGATTGCAAAGGATGAATAAATGTATAACAACGAGTAAAAAGAAAACCACTTTCCAAAGGGTTGAATCAATTTTGGTCCGTATGTCCTGCATATTTCTATAGCTAGATACATTATTGAAGAGTAACAATAATGTAAATCGGAATCTCGAGGGCCACAAAAAATTGAGTTTGTCAACATTTGCACAGTGGTGGTCGAAGACTCCATAAAGTTTCTATTTTCTATTAAATACGCTTGCCGGGACCTTTTCAACGATACCCCATTTATGGGGCTCTGTGAGACTTCAAATTAAAAAAAAAAATTTTTTACGTTATTTTTGTGTAATTTTTTTCGAATTTTGTAATACACTGGTTTTGGGTTCTAGGGAAAAAAACTTAGGAACCTGTTGCTGAAAGTATGTAGCATTTCAATTGTAGCATTTCATTGTAGTAGTCCCAAGAATTCTACGGACACTTTTAACTACTTTTGTATAAAATTTGTGAAAAATTTAAGGGATTTTATACATAAATTTGCCTGGGTTTTATGCCGAGAATTGGCTGGATTTTATGCAGAAAAATTTATGCCGAAACAATTTGCGTACAAAATATGCAGAATTATGCATACTTGTGCAAAACCTTTCTGCAGAATATACTTACCAGTCACAAGTTTTATGCACAATCGTTGACACTTTTCCTGCACACACCATTGGTCCGGGCACTTGTGTCGAATCATATCAAATTCGACATACGATTTTCACCCGGGCGTATTTGATCGACACGGATAAGCAGCGATTTTATATTATGGGGCTATGTGAGACCTGATATATATAAACCCGTGGGAAAATTAATCTGTCCAAAGGTGACCAGTTCCAACATCATTTTCGACCTGTGACCTTAAGACGAAAAAGTCCCACCTCTGGACACTGAATGGATGATAAAAAATTGAAATTTCAGCTTCTTAATTCAAAAAATGATGGAAAAATCGCCGTACTGAATACGAACTGAACTCTAGATCAGAAAAACGGCCGTTACGAACGACTGGGGCAACTTGCCTTGTAAATTTATCTTCTATTACGCAAATTTCATGGTCTGTGACCTATTTTTGATGGAAATTGATCAATCAAAAAGCCAGCTGGTTAGCCTTACCTATTTGGTATAGATACCGGCTTAATCTCATTACCAGCTTTGTCAGCTCGATTCACAGCATACAATTTTGTAATGCAAAAGAAGTGCTACTTAATTCTGCACAAAATATAAATACGTGTTTACGTACCTTGAAATGCAATAATGAGCTGGCGGTGTCGCGACGGGGAGGTACTTATTTCACGCCAGAAGGCCCATGCATGAAAAGGTTCATTTGCAGCCTGGCAGATAATTCTGTACTCGGGCAAGGTTGCTGAAATGGGTTAAAATTAATTTAGGTAAGTAATTCTGGCAGATAAATTTTTTCAAGTACTCTGCTAAGCTCGAATTCAACTCTCCCAGTGGCGTATCTCCATACGCCCACAAACCCATTTGTGGGATTCAAATTTAAATAATTTTAAAAACAAAGAATTATTATTTCCAGGATACAGTCCAAGTTTCATTAAAATTGGATAACTCTAATTTTTTGAACGTTCAATTAACTGACTTGCGACACTTAATTTCAGAGGATTTTTTACATGAATGTGTGCGCCACATAAAAGTTTTCTGATTTCGGAAATTTAAAAATTACAAAAACGTTTTCATTTCCAATATACATATTTACTCTACTGATAAATACATTTATATATTTGTTTTTTAACACCGTTGATTATCAATCCTGCTTTGTGAGTGTGATAGTTTCAACATTGACTGTTGATTCTTATCACGATGTGTAAATACCAAATGGGAACAAATATGTTTGCAAAATGACGTGGTGAATGCGGTGATGCTAAACGTTTCTCTCAAGTGTTTTACCGATTTTCAAACCCAATTATAACATATTTTTTACAGAATAACTGGATGGTGGAAAATAAAACGAAACTTCGTTTTTAAATATGTACGTAATTCAAGAAAATTGCGTCGTAAATTAATAATTTGTAAGTCTTAAATGACTAGTTATGTTTACCAATCCCAAAATTTAAAGTAATCCCTAGCTGGATACATATTTACATACTTTATGTCAGAGAATGAATTCAAATTAGTCTTACTTATAATCTCCTTCTCGCCATGGTCTAAACTGGAGTAGGTAATTTTAGCCAATTTGCACAAATCCAGGATTGACGGGTACAACTCGAGCTTCAACTTCGTACTTATATCCAACTCGGAAACGGTCTCATTAGAGTCACGTACAAAATCCGCTAAACATAGGCGCCAATCGGCTTTGCTATGCTTCAAATTTTCGTCAGGTATCAATTTTACTGTCATGACGACAATATTTATTGAAAAGTGTTGGCCAAATTGTGTTAAGTTGATCAGCCAGGTTTAGAGGCGAGTATGGCTTTGCATTCCTGGCAGCATAAGGTTTTTGCAACATTACAATTCAGCCGAGTGAATGCAAGAATTCGATCAGATAAGCGCATAATTCAGGTAGATTAGTCTTACTGTAAGACTCTTACATATATATGGCAGTCATTACATACCTTTGTCGAGACACTCGTGTCGCCTTGTTATACAAGTTGTTATCTGCAGTCTGATCCATTCCATCCTTTTTATTCGTTAATATTGTTCCTAAGCACAAATATTATTGATGGGATGAGCATAATTTTTGTGTGAATGAAGCTGGGTGTCGAATGAAAAATTACTTTGGTTGTCTATGTTGGAGGATGTAAGTAAATATGTAAGTATGAAACACAGATAAGTACAGATACTGTTCAAATAACCACAGATACGTACGGTACATATGTATTTCTTATTCATGGCAGACGAGAGCTGGATGAGATATTTTACCTTTAGTTCGATTTTTTAAATTCTGATAGGAATATTTATGTACAGCGCTGGCCGCTTAGCTTTTTTTCAATTTATTTTTTTTAATATGGTAATAATATTCTGCGTATAATATATGTGCACCTCAATTATCTGCGAATACAATTCCATACTTAATTGAATAAAGATACACTTTATTGTCATACAGACATATCCCAAAAGGGTGCTTATCTTGTCATGGCATGCCCAACAAATGTGGCTCATCTTTTCAGCAAGATTAATCATTCATTAATGGAATCATAACCGAAGAATCATGAATTGTATATGCAACTTGTCAGGTAAGGTTCCTATTCTATATTTGCTTGGCTTTGTACATACATACAACCAAACATATGTAAGAGTAGTATGAAAAACTTTTATGGCGAAAGTTGTATTATCAAATAACAAGATAATGGAATAGATACTTCGGCTATGAGTATTTATTAATGCTTTTAGTAGGTGCCATGTTCTAGGTAATGATTTATTATTCCAAGCCAACACTTTTACTATGATGTAAGTATGGATTTTTTAGGACGGTTAATCAGTTGAGACTTGAGACTCTCAAGTTGAGAGTCAGCTTAACGCGACACATTTTTAAAATCGTTAACTTATACACGACTTGCGAATTTGATCTAAGTCCCCATGAATAAAGCTCAACTCAACCAATAAAAGTTGACGAATTTTTTGTAGACCATTCCCACATATAAAAGAGAGTGATTCATAGAAATGAATTTACGAATTGTCCCATGAGTTTGTAAATTTTCGGTCTACTATTTTTCGTATGGTTTTAAACTGGTTATAGTCGTGCCTTGAGACAGTATTTGATGCAAATGTAATCAAATCAAGGTTCAGTCGAACTGCAAAGCATTCATCTAATACCGCGGTAGGTATGTTCGTGTAGTTATTAGTAATAATAAACTGCGCCAACGCAGGGTACACAAGTAGCGCAAAGATGCTGAGAATGAGATACAAAATAAAGGGAATATCGATTTCCGAATCTTAATTATTTAAAAATAATAAAGTAATTTAGATTTCCTCATTTATATGTAGCCACTCTGAAAAATCGTACATCTTACATGTTTTGCTGTTTTATCAATCTTAATTAATCAATCAATCTTGCTGTTGTACATATTACCCAGTAGTCCCTGAATTGCTGTTACAAGATTTCGCGGGTAAATTAAGCGGGGACCGAATTTTTTTAGAAAGTTGTGCTATTTTTTATTGAAATCTCCATGCTTTTGTCTATCAGAAACCATGCGTCGAAGTTTTTTGTGACCCAAGGTTCCAAAGTGACAGACCAGGAGAAGCAACGTGTTGCAATTTTTCAACAACATTTTGGTAGACAAAAAAATCGTCATTTTTCAATTGTTAAACAAAATTCGGAACTGATCGCAAGATGGTCGACCGTACCATAAAATGATCCCCTGACACTGGCAGTGTCGAGGACCGAAGTAGAAGTGGAAGGAGAAGGTCAGAAAGGTCACCAAAATTCACTAAGTCACGAAAAAATGGATTCGTCCGAATCCATGCCGAGTCCTAAGAAAATTTCCCTCAAAAATGAACGTATGAAGTAAAAGTAAGTTCCGTGCCCTTAAACTAAACCATCAGAACCCTGACGCTGTTCATGCGGTACGCGCTTTGGAAAATGGAAACTGATATTTTCAACAGATGATCCAAGCTTTGTAGGTGAAGCCGAATAAAATGGCAAAAATACCGTTTCTACACCCCACCGGTCTAGACTATTCGTAAAAATTTCAAAAATGTTCACCTTACCCACCATATTGGTTTTACGATTTTTTGATTGGGCATAAGTTAACTTGCGCCGAAAAAGTGATTTATTTTCCTCTGGGGGTGAAATTTCGTGCCAAAAATTATTTGTTCAAGTTCTCGAGCGAATTGTGGAACCACTGAACCAATACCTATTCAAAAATATGGCCGTGATATTCAAACAGGGCTCAGATCCTGTTCATGAGGCCAAGATGGTAATTGGGTGGTTGAAATCCAAAATTCCTGACTCCATTTCGGACCAATAAAAAAAATGATTGTCGCCGAACCTCGACCTGCTGGAGTATGGCATATTTTTCAAACTTTAGCTGGATGTATGTGCTAAACGCCGTATAAGTTTGGAATCCATAAAAAATTCAACGGTATAGAAATGAGGCCAATCCCCGCTGGAACGCGTGCGTACTTCGATCGAGTGGTGGATACCAAGACTCCGGGCTCGTGTCGCCTTATGAGATTGACATTTTGAAAAGTGAATAATGTTTCCTACACGAAATTTCATTGGCTTTTCAGTTCTGGACTTATTTTTTCGAAATTCGATAAACTGAGTTAGCTACAATAAGTTGTTCTTGTAACACTAGTTAAGGGACTACTAGGTAGATTCAATTTTTCTAAAAATTTAATTTTGCCCCAACCATACCCCAAAATTTCCGATTGACCCCAAAATTTCCGATTGACCCCAAAATTTGGGAAGAACCTCTCCCTGGGGTCGTATGTATGATGCCGCAAACCGATTTCGATTATCTCGATCCATTCTTCCGTTATCGTGTTGACGGACAGACGGACAGACAGAGAGACTAACTAAGTCATTGCATAAAGTTGCTTGCACTACTTAATTATACGTGGCTATCCTGTGCCTAAGTTTCTTCGATTTTCATCTTGTTAAGAAACCAAAACCTAATCATACAATAAGGTCAGCACGCTGGGCAACATTAATTAAAAAAAACTAATATAAATGTGTGCAGAAGATGCGTAGAAACCAAATAAATATAATACAACTGGAGCATAATGGTCTTGAAAATTTACAATTTTAATTAATTTTTCAGAAAAGAAACACAATTTGAATTTGTAATGTTTGTTTAAAACGACAAATATTAAGATTGAGGTTGAATCGAAATATTTGGGGCGAGCTTAAATTAAGAATTAAGCACATATAAACATAGAGATTTAAGAAGATTTATCCCAAATTGACCTAATTTTCCCTCTAGAATATTATCATGTCCTAATTCTTCCTTTATTAGTTTTACAAATTGCACGACTCAGGCCCCGTTTTAGGTATAGGCGAGCTAGGCAACCGCCTGGGGCGCTAGAAATTTGAGGGGCGCCGAAAGGCGCCCCTATACACTAGATAAAAACAACTTTACGGAATTTTATACCTTATCGTGAAAAACAACATAAATACGTATAATAAAACTTAGTTTCCCTGAAATGTGTGGTACAAAACTTTATTTGTCAGTATTGTTCACAAATTATTAGCTTGGAAATTCTGCCAGATGAACTTTTTTTGTAAGATTTACATTTAGCAATTTCTTTGTAACATTTGCAGTCAAAAAGGGTGGGTATCTTGCGATCTTGGCAGGACAAATTTTAACTTGGTCACACTCAGAAATAAGGGGACTAATTTTGCGCTTTCTTTAATGCGATTGTTTTCCCTGTGGCAGAATTTTTTAATAAATTTTCAGCCAACCTCTGGATTTTTTAAAACGCTTTAACTTATCAATTTGAGTCAAATTAAAAAAAATAAGTACAATTGTTGCTCAGATTTATTTCTCTGAAAGTATGAAAATTCATGTACAAAAAACCGATGTTTTTTTTATTTTTATTTTTTGTCCTAATTTTAGCGACTCAGTAAAATTGGTAGCATGAAAATTTCAAGTATAATTTCAAAATTAATATTAAAAATCTCAGGAGAGTAATTGTGCAATGTAAGAATTGTGCTTAATTTTTTAAATCTGGTAAAATTGGAAAAACGACGGCCTTTTGAAAATCCCGATTTTGGCTGTAAATTTATTTTTAAATTCTGCCACATTCGAAAATACGCGCATTCTAAAACACGAGAAATATGTTTACGCTTATTTCTGAGCTTGACAATTTAAAGTTAGTCTGGTCCAACTTGGAGTCCGTGTTTGACCAGATTAACTTTAAATCTCTCCGAGTCTCGGAGATACATATGTCCTATCTTACACGTCCCCATTGGTAGCATGATTTTAATTTTTAATAAGCAAATCCTCAAAAAGTGAGAAGTGTTAAGGAGGCCATAACAATATTCAATTATTTTTTTCAGGAAATACAAAGATTTAACTAAGGTTATTAAAAAGGCTGATTTTTTTAAATTTACTTGTATTGTATACATTAAAAGGGGAGTAATTTTTACATGTGGCAAAACTTATGGCGGGTAGTGCTTTCTTTTTGAAGATAACCCCACACTGCAAAATGAAAATTTGTGTACCACTAAAAGTGTTTAGAGCACCAATGGTGCGTGCACATGGGGGCGCCATAATGGTTTTGCCTAGGGCGCCACATTGCCTAGAACGGGGCCTGGCACGACTTCTCTATACCCCCTTAGAAAAGTGGTATTAAATAATTACCGACCGGAGTACATATGTGACTCTACCGGCACTGGTACTAACGGGAATTACCGTTCAGTAGTGTTGTGGTCATGAAAAATTTACTACTCATGAACAGTTTACTAACAATCCGGTAGGAAATATTACCAAATCAATACCACCACGGAGTAGATGTCTGACTCTACAAGATTTTTAACAGTGTAGACTTCT